CTCCTTGGTGTTCAATAACAGATGACCTTTGTATGGAACGTCGAAATTAATTCATATGATAATTTAATTTACGAAGCTTTAATTGCGATATTTTGTTTAGTGAGTAAAATTAACACACACACACAAGCACTGGACTCGCCAAGGGGCATGGAGCCCCTGGCTCTCCGGGTTCGAATCCTTCAGGGGTAAAAGAGGAGAGAGAGAGAGAGAGAGAGAGAGAGAGAGAGAGAGAGAGAGAGAGAGAGAGAGAGAGAGAGAGAGAGAGAGAGAGAGAGAGAGAGAGAGAGAGAGAGAGAGAGAGAGAGAGAGAGAGAGAGAGAGAGAGAGAGAGAGAGAGAGAGAGAGAGAGAGAGAGAGAGAGAGAGAGAGAGAGAGAGAGAGAGAGAGAGAGAGAGAGAGAAAGAGAGAGAGACAACAGGCAGCCCCACTGTTTTCTGAACCATGGGCAAATGTACATTGAAGTTCCTGAAGGAATTGGGGGACAAATTGATCGGCACTACAAAATATCAGACAGCAAAAAGTTTCTGTTCCAGCGCCTCAGTGTTGCGATTCAGAGGGGGAATGCCTGCTGCGTCTTGGGCACTAGTCCAACTTTAGAGGAATTCGAAGAAGTGTTTGACTTGCAACAATAATCAAACCTGTCTGTGACATTTATCAATGTTTCCCATTGCCGTGTTTTTCAAGAGATCCATAACCTTTAAGCACTTTTTGTATCAACCCATGCATATCTTGTAACCATCAAATACAAACAAATATATGAATATATATATATATATATATATATATATATATATATATATATATATATATATATATATATATATATATATATATATAAATATATATATATATATATATGTATATATTCTCGTTGGACGTTGGACACTGTTTACCAACGTACCTGTGGATGAAACAATCGGGATGATAGCGGACAGAGTGTATCGTGATCCGGCCTGTACTCCTCTTGACATACCAGAAAACATTCTAAGGAAACTACCCCAAGCTTGTACTAAAGAGGCACCCTTCTTGAGCCCTGATGGGCACATGTATAAGCAAGTAGATGGGGTCGCCATGGGTTCTCCCCTAGGTGTCCTGTTTGCGAACTTCTACATGGGCACCATCGAGCAAAAAGTCTTAGTAGACATGAACTTGAAACCGGTCATATACTGCAGGTATGTTGACGACATTTTTACACAGGTACCTGATGTCAGACATCTGCTGGAGCTGAAGGAGGCATTTGAGCAGAGTTCCGTGCTGCGTTTCACTTACGAGATGGAAAAGGATGGGAAGCTGCCCTTTCTAGATATAACAGTCATGGAAAAGAGCGGAGGTTTCCACACTGCAGTCTACACTAAGGAAACGAACATAGGAAAGTGCCTAAATGCCAACAGTGACTGCCCAGACAGGTACAAGAGGAGTGTTGTTAACGCTTATGTCGACCGTGCTCTTAGCCACAGCTCAGAATTGCAAGTCGACGAAGAACTCTGTAGGGTATGGCAGGTCCTAGTCAACAACGGCTTCTCCAATGGTTTCGTCGAAGACATCATAAGAAGGAAAGTGAAACGCCATGCAACCTCTGAAGAAACAACTAACACAACACCTATACCCCCTATTAGACTATTTTACAGGAACTTCTTTTCCGCAGCTCATAAAACGGTTAATAGAAACGTTATCCCTACAGACAAAAATCAGAAGATACAACTGACGATTTACTATAAAACCAGAAAAACGGCCAGCCTACTCAACAGAAACTCTCCAGACACAAAGCAGAACGCTTTAAAGACGCTTAACTTGCTTTGTTTTGCGTTAACTTTTTAGAGTTCAAGAAAATCTTGAACTAACTTTAGAGGAAGTGTTGGTGCTAACCGCCAGTTGGGCTGGAATGTACTGCAAGACAATGGCGATGATTTGAAACAAAAAGCCAACCAATCAGCAAGGCTCCGTTTGAAAAAGCCTTTGGGAACTCATAAACTTGGAGCTCAGCCAATGGGAGCGTGCGGTGAGAGAAGGGGTTGCCCCGCCCACAGAGAGTTCTAGAAGTTAGGTTAGTGGCCAGACACTCAACAGACATACACCGCCGCGGCCTTGCTGCTGTGAGGAGGGGAATATTGCTTGGGTAACTTACAATTGTCAGGTTGAAGGAAGCATCCAGCAGGGAATAGACGATGGCCTTTCCTTCTCTTTCTACAGAAAAACCAAAAGATTACTGGCCTGGAAACTCAACCCGTTCTCTCCTGATACTTGCGTTAAAAATGCGCTGTAATATTAACAATTAAAACACCATATTGACGTTTTCTGTATATCAGCGTCAATAGGTCAGGTGTGGTTGCTTGCGTTCGTATTGGAGAGTTCTGTGATCTCATCAACATGATGTGGAGGAGGAGGCGGAGGCGTGGGGCGGCAAGAGCAAGTATTATTAAATAGCTCCCAATGGAACACGCCAGATTCTCCCACCACCTAATTCAGGTCTTTTTTTTACGGATTAACCATTCCGCTAAGAATGCAACTTCTTATAAGAACTTAAAGCACGTTAATATTTAATGATTTTAATCCATGGGTGTCGATAGGTTAGGCGGGTAGCGTGTGTGTGTTCGTCTCAGTTTCCGGCTGCTTGTTTGGGGGCGGAGTGATAACTTGAGGGCTGGGGTGTGGGAGCTGGAGCCTGGCCACACTACCGGCCCGTACCCCCGGGATCACCAGGCCTTGTTTCTGGTCACGGTGGTTCGTGGTGCCTCACCAACCTCATTATTCAAGGTCGTTAAACAGACAATGATTCTGGTCATTTGGGTTGCAACTTGATCAAGTGAATTGAGCAGTTTTTTCTAGGAGTAACTTTATTGTGCAGTGTTGGTAACAATTAGATCTCAGTGGTGAAATGCGTAATTGTGAGAGTGAGGGTGAGGGATTTTTTTGGGGGGATAAGTACCCTTTCTCAGATTTCTTGTGCGTATTTAAGCACAGTGGTCTGCGTCCTCGGCCAACGCCACTTATATAAAAAAAGAATATCAATACATTTATGAGCATTATCAAAACATACTGAAAGAGGAAAGTAGCTAGAATTCAAAGATCCAAAAGTTAATATATATATATATATATATATATATATATATATATATATATATATATATATATATATATATATATATATATATATATATATATATATATATATATATATATATATAATATATATATATATATATATATATATATATATATATATATATATATATATATATATATATATATATACATATATATTAGTATATTTTGGTAGCAGTCTTTCCTGTAGACATATATTATTAAATATGACCGAAAAAGTAAGATTAATAATTCTAACACGAATTTTCTCGATCTTTCTTACGTTTCTTTTCACTGTTGATGGTAATTCAAAGATCAATTCTCCAAAATTCATTTTTATTTCTAGTCTGACGCGACACTTGAACGCGTTTCGTAATAACTTATTACATTTTCAAAGACTTTAGTTTACAAACACACAACTGAAACTGAATAGGGCTTACACATCTTCGATTTTATATCTACATTTGGGTGAGGTGGATGAGGTGAAAACAAACTTTCAACAATGGGTATTGAATGGGTATTAAATTCAAACACAAGACAGAACACGAAACAATGGGTATTGAATGGAAGTAATTGTTCTACAATTACTTCCATTCAATACCCATTGTTGAAAGTTTGTTTTCACCTCATCCACCTCACCCAAATGTAGATATAAAATCGAAGATGTGTAAGCTCTATTCAGTTTCAGTTGTGTGTTTGTATTAGTTATTTGTATCTGTTATTTGTTATTTAGTATCAGTTATTTGTTTGTATAGCCTATTGGTCCATATTTCTATATTGGAGCGGAGTCTTGAAGTGGGTAGAATATAGTTGTGCATTAATTGGCTGTTGATTGCTGGTGTTGACTTCTTGATGTGTAGTGCCTCGCAAACGTCAAGCCGTCTGCTATCGCTGTATCTATCGATGATTTCTGTGTTGTTTGCTAAGATTTCTCTAGTGATGGTTTGGTTGTGGGAAGAGATTATATGTTCCTTAATGGAGCCCTGTTGCTTATGCATCGTTAAACGCCTCGAAAGTGATGTTGTTGTCTTGCCTATATACTGGGTTTTTTGAGGCTTACAGTCCCCAAGAGGGCATTTGAAGGCATAGACGACGTTGGTCTCTTTTAAGTGAATTAAAGCACAGGCCTAAAATCTCACTTGGACAGCAGGTGTCTTTCTGAGACGCACCCGTATAGCAAGTGTTGTGGTCAGAGCCGCACACTACAGCTCGGTGGTCCGTGGTTCTAGGCTCCGACGGCCCAAGCGAATGAAACATATTCAGCAAGAGAGCATTGATCAGTTGAGGACACTTGCCAGTGTGAGCAGTATTCCGTCGGTGACACAGTCCCCGGGACGGGCAGATCTCCGTCAAATCGTGAGGCTGTAACTTACTATTGTGTAATGAGTCTCCTGTGAAGACGCTGGCACAGAGAGAGAGAGAGAGAGAGATAGAGAGAGAGAGAGAGAGAGAGAGAGAGAGAGAGAGAGAGAGAGAGAGAGAGAGAGAGAGAGAGAGAGAGAGAGAGAGAGAGAGAGAGAGAGAGAGAGAGAGAGAGAGAGAGAGAGAGAGAGAGAGAGAGAGAGAGCGAGAGAGAGAGAGGGGGGGGGTAAGGTGGGAAAAGGATGATGAGAGCATAAAATATCCAAAGCTGTCGTCTCTAGCCGTTCTCAGCCGCGCGGGGCTGATGGTGGTGTCGATCTAACTGGTTCTTACCGCGTCAAGAGGGTAAAGCAAGGGGTAACATGTGATGGTCGAGGGGCTGGTGAGGTCACGGGTGAGGTGAGACACGCCAGAGTGTGAGAAGTGAGGACACCCACGCAAGAGGCGCTCGGCCAACCGTTTACCCTCGACCTGAGGACATCTTAGGACCTTACCCACGCTCAGGAGCAACAATCTTCGCCCCTCCCAGAGTCAGTCGACGTGTTCTCGCAGAGAATATGACACGAGTGTCAACAGCCTCGGGGGCCACAGCAGTGCCAACTACCTCGGGTGCCACAGGAGTGCCAACAGCCTCGGGTGCCACAGAAGTGCCAACAGTCTCGGGTGCCACAGCAGTGCCAACAGAGCCTTTTGTGCCAAAGGAGTGCCAACAGCCTCGGGTGCCACAGGAGTGCCAACAGCCTCGGGTGCCACATCAGTGCCAACAGAGCATTTTTGTGCCACAGGAGTGCCAACGGCCTCGGGTGCCACAGGAGTGCCAACGGCCTCGGGTGCCACAGGAGTGCCAACAGCTTCGCGTGCCACAGGAGTGCCAACAGCCTCAGGTGCCACAGCAGTGCCAACAGAGCCTTTTGTGCCACAGGAGTGCCAACGGCCTCGGGTGCCACAGGAGTGCCAACAGCCTCGGGTGCCACAGGAGTGCCAACAGCCTCGGGTGCCACAGCAGTGCCAACAGCCTCGGGTGCCACAGCAGTGCCAACAGAGCCTTTTGTGCCACAGGAGTGCCAACGGCCTCGGGTGCCACAGGAGTGCCAACGGCCTCGGGTGCCACAGGAGTGCCAACAGCCTCGGGTGCCACAGGAGTGCCAACAGCCTCGGGTGCCACAGGAGTGCCAACACCCTCGGGTGCCACAGAAGTGCCAACAGCCTCGGGAGCCACAGGAGTGCCAATTAACAGCTTCGGGTGCCACAGGAGTGCCAACAGCCTCGGGTGCCACAGGAGTGCCAACAGCCTCGGGTGCCACAGGAGTGCCAACAGCTTCGCGTGCCACAGGAGTGCCAACAGCCTCAGGTGCCACAGCAGTGCCAACAGAGCCTTTTGTGCCACAGGAGTGCCAACGGCCTCGGGTGCCACAGGAGTGCCAACAGCCTCGGGTGCCACAGGAGTGCCAACAGCCTCGGGTGCCACAGCAGTGCCAACAGCCTCGGGTGCCACAGCAGTGCCAACAGAGCCTTTTGTGCCACAGGAGTGCCAACGGCCTCGGGTGCCACAGGAGTGCCAACGGCCTCGGGTGCCACAGGAGCGCCAACAGCCTCGGGTGCCACAGGAGTGCCAACAGCCTCGGGTGCCACAGGAGTGCCAACACCCTCGGGTGCCACAGAAGTGCCAACAGCCTCGGGAGCCACAGGAGTGCCAACAGCTTCGGGTGCCACAGGAGTGCCAACAGCCTCGGGTGCCACAGGAGTGCCAACAGCCTCGGGTGCCACAGGAGTGCCAACAGCTTCGCGTGCCACAGGAGTGCCAACAGCCTCAGGTGCCACAGCAGTGCCAACAGAGCCTTTTGTGCCACAGGAGTGCCAACGGCCTCGGGTGCCACAGGAGTGCCAACAGCCTCGGGTGCCACAGGAGTGCCAACAGCCTCGGGTGCCACAGCAGTGCCAACAGCCTCGGGTGCCACAGCAGTGCCAACAGAGCCTTTGGTGCCACAGGAGTGCCAACGGCCTCGGGTGCCACAGGAGTGCCAACGGCCTCGGGTGCCACATGAGTGCCAACAGCCTCGGGTGCCACAGGAGTGCCAACAGCCTCGGGTGCCACAGGAGTGCCAACACCCTCGGGTGCCACAGAAGTGCCAACAGCCTCGGGAGCCACAGGAGTGCCAACAGCTTCGGGTGCCACAGGAGTGCCAACAGCCTCGGGTGCCACAGGAGTGCCAACAGCCTCGGGTGCCACAGGAGTGCCAACAGCCTCGGGTGCCACAGGAGTGCCAACAGCCTCGGGTGCCACAGGAGTGCCAACAGCCTCGGGAGCCACAGGAGTGCCAACAGCCTCGGGTGCCACAGGAGTGCCAACAGCCTCGGGTGCCACAGGAGTGCCAGCAGCCTCGGGTGCCACAGGAGTGCCAACGGCCTCGGGTGCCACAGGAGTGCCAATGGCCTCGGGTGCCACAGCAGTGCCAACAGAGCCTTTTGTGCCACAGGAGTGCCAACGGCCTCGGGTGCCACAGGAGTGCCAACGGCCTCGGGTGCCACAGGAGTGCCAACAGCCTCTGGTGCCACAGGAGTGCCAACAGCCTCGGGTGCCACAGCAGTGCCAACAGAGCCTTTTGTGCCACAGGAGTGCCAACGGCCTCGGGTGCCACAGGAGTGCCAACAGCCTCGGGTGCCACAGGAGTGCCAACAGCCTCGGGTGCCACAGCAGTGCCAACCGAGCCTTTTGTGCCACAGGAGTGCCAACGGCCTCGGGTGCCACAGGAGTGCCAACGGCCTCGGGTACCACAAGAGTGCCAACAGGTTCGGGTGCCACAGGAGTGCAAACAGCTTCGGGTGCCACAGCAGTGCCAACAGAGCCTTTTGTGCCACAGGAGTGCCAACGGCCTCGGGTGCCACAGGAGTGCCAACAGCCTCGGGTGCCACAGGAGTGCCAACAGCCTCGGGTGCCACAGCAGTGCCAACAGAGCCTTTTGTGCCACAGGAGTGCCAACGGCCTCGGGTGCCACAGGAGTGCCAACGGCCTCGGGTGCCACAGGAGTGCCAACAGCCTCGGGTGCCACAGGAGTGCCAACAGCCTCGGGTGCCACAGGAGTGCCAACAGCCTCGGGTGCCACAGGAGTGCCAACAGAGCCTTTTGTGCCACAGGAGTGCCAACAGCCTCGGGAGCCACAGGAGTGCCAACAGCCTCGGGTGCCACAGGAGTGCCAACAGCCTCGGGTGCCATAAGCCTCGGGTGCCACAGGACTGCCAACAGAGCCTTTGGTGCCAACAGAGCCTCGGGAGCCACAGGAGTGCCAACAGCCTCGGGAGCCACAGGAGTGCCAACAGTCTCGGGTGCCACAGGAGTGCCACAAACCTCGGGTGCCACATGGCAACGTGTTGGGCGTGACGGGTACATCAGCGGTATATAACCTGGATATATGTGAACGGTCTAGGATGAGTGTGCTGTAAAGCTGAATGTTGGGGAAGTTAATCAACAATTCCGCCTTAAGTGGGGATTGTTGGTTAACATTTCATAGCTTCACGGTGCTCAACGCCTTTATTCGTGAGTGCCGGTGCGTGAACACTCACGAAATATAATAATCTATACACATACAAAAAAATACATAAGCACGAATATTAAAGAACGCATCTGTTCTCTCTGTCTGGCTCTCTCTCACACACATACACAAACTAATATACAATTACAAACCAAACAGACACACACCAAGCACGAACAAACACACACTGAGCATTCACAAGTGGGACGAACAATCTTTCACGAATGCATAATTACGCTTGCAGAAGGCAAATGCACGCCTCGGAATTCCTGGAAGCAGCCAGACCGAGCTAAAACTCGAGCACCAGCCGGGGTATTTGTGGAACCGCCACCATCTGCAAATGAGCAGCTTGCTGTGTAAATAAGGCGAGAGGGCAGATGCAGGTTGCTCTCTAGGCCACGAAACGGCTTGGCTCTGACGGCTGGAACAGACTGCCGGGGCGGGAGAGACTTGGCATGGATGCTGAGAGGCGGAAGTTGCACTGTGCAACATTTCCTCTGTTTTGGGACGCCCTTCAACACTGTTATACGCATCAAAGTTTTCCTGGTGATGACGAATCCGTACAAAAGTCAGTTTTCATTTTATTTTTTATACAAGTAGATGTCTGTGTGTGTGTGTGTCGGGTTCGAGGTCAGATGCCTGTGGTTAGCTTCGTGGATCTTTCCATGGTGATTTATGATTGTACGGGAATATCATAGGTGGGTTGGGGTCGACACCCATGCCCCTCCTTGAGAAGGACGGGCGCCTATTACGACAACCAATGACTCGTATGAAGTAACATGTGGGTTTAGTTTCCCACAGTTATCACCAGATTTACAGTTGTTCATCACACCCACGAAGTGAGGGAGCCCAACAGTTATTATAACGACGGAGTAAAGTAACTAATAATAATGCTGCGACTTGTTGGGAATGTATATTGCTGTTCTGAGAGAAAGTGAGAGAGAGAGAGAGAGAGAGAGAGAGAGAGAGAGAGAGAGAGAGAGAGAGAGAGA